GAGAAAATATATTACGTTATATAACCTCTTCTCTTTAATTTCATACGACTTGAACCAACTTGAACAGTCCTTTTCATTTTCTCGATATAAATCGTACTTCGTATACGTTCCAACATAGGCCGATCTTCACGCCTTATGCGAAATAGATCGCTTTTCATTCATTTTTTGACATAAATCTTTCTTCACGTTTTTCTTAATATAGGACCTTCTACAGCTCAGACATCGATACACTTAATTTTTTTTTGTCATAATAAAAATTATTTCCCACAGACTTCTTCCAATTTTAACATTAACATTTTCTCTTTAAAATAACAAAAAAAAAACAAACTAAATCTGGACTAATAAGAGTCAGCGCGAGCAGAGGTGCGTAATAAAATTTTACAAATAAATTTGTTAATTTACACGAAGTATTGATGTCATCTTTTTAAATCTTGAGAAATCTTGAACGCGCGCGCGTTTTGATTCTCTTTGGAATCTTCATTAGCAATCTTCTTAATCCATAATAGATTTTCGCGAACGGTCAAGGTAGAATCACTCTCAGATTACCAAAACTGTAGTGTAATCTGTTTAAATTCATAAAATTGAAATACAATATTTAAAATTAACCAATAAAGTAACGAGTAACTCACCCACACAATCGCCAAATCTTCTCATGAAACTTGAATGTTATATTAATGTTCACAAATAATCATATTTTATAATACATTTTATGTAGATTTGGTATATTGAACTCTGTCTAAATCATTCGGAGTAACGAATATACAAGGTGTTAGTTAAGTATGTTGCTCAACAGAGCGATTCTTTGGTTTATTTTAAGTAAAAAAATCTATAAACATGTGTCCTAAACGGCTTAGTCTGAAATAAAAAAATTTAAACATGTAGTAATAATCTCTTTATTTGAAAGAAATACAGCTTGAACTAATCAAAAACTAGTCAAAAACAGAAAAACAAAAACAGGCTTCAGTTCTTCTGATGAAATAAAACAATTAGATGAATTGTTGAAAATGTTATCATTATACATCCATCGAGCCTTCTTCTCAAAGATTGATGTACACGTTCAAAGATACCAGGTGTGATACGTATTGCCTCACATGAAGCAACTGTTCGATTCCTCAAATCATTCTCATTCTCAATTGAGATGATATAAACCAATGATTTCAGCTGCCCCCAAAGGAAATAATCCAAAGGATTTAAGTCTGCTGATTTCTTTGACTTTGATTTTGTCACTTTGTTTACGGTTGTGCGAATTGTAACTCACGTGAAGCAA